CTCTCCACTTAAGCCCCTGGCATCAGGTCCTCATTTTTCCCCCTCCCTCCCCACTCCCTCCTCCACTTGTACAACTCTTATCACCATCCATTCATCCATTCATTGTGTGTCAAGCACATTTGTACATTGTTCCTGGCTGCGATTTTTATGGAAGCAGATTGGCAGTCCTTTCCCACGGAGCTCCTGAGTGGGTTCGAACAGCCAACCTATTAGCCAACAACCAGTGGCACACCGTTTGGGGCCACAAGCCCCCTTCCAGGCAACCCTTAACCCTTGCAAAGCCTTCTGGAGCAAGTTCTACCCAAAAATGCCCGTGTTGGCCATGCGTGAGAATCAGCCCTCTGCCCACTGGTTAAGTGGACAGGGCTCACGTGCCAGGGGCCCAGGATGACCCTGTAATGAACAGAAGAGAGCCTCACTGGCCCCAAACCAAACCAAAGCCCCTGCCAGCGAATCGCTGCTGACTCAGAGTTTCCGAGGCTGCCCATCTTCACGGAGCAGACAGCCCCCACCAAGCTGCTGCCGGTGGGTTTGAACCGCCCAGCACACCTGCCCATCTCTAGATGCATGTGCCGGCTGGGGTGCTGAAAAGCTTTTCCTGCCAGGTGGCATCACCAGGACAGGCTTCTGGACGGTGGGCACCCTTCGGTGGTGCTGGATGGTGGTGGGGTCCGGATGTCCCCTCCCGAGGGGCCGACCAGTAACGCTTCTTTCTGCCCCAGTTCCAGCGGCCCCAGGAGCAGTACCCGCCCCTGAAGTTTGGCACGGTGCCCAACGGGTCCACGGAGAAGAACATCCGCAGCAACTACCCGGACATGCACAGCTACATGGTGCGCTACAACCAGCCGCGCGTCGAAGAGGCGCTGGCGCAGCTCAAGGCCGGGTCAGTTGTAGGCTCTGGCGCGCCTGTTAGGGCGGCGGGGACACGGGAGGGAGGGGAGCCCCTACAGGCCTAGGTGCGGGGTGGGGGACCGAGCAAGGCAGGGCCTGCAAAGGCTAGGCGCCCCCTGGGCAAGGGCAGGGACACGGAGGGTCAGGGGGAGGGGCTCAGCCCAAGCCTGAGGTCTCCCAGGGTGGGCCAGCTCCCAGATCAAAGAAAGCAGAAGTAGGTTCCCCGTCCCAGGAGTAGGGTCCCCGTGATGTTTGATGTTTCCAGTTACACCCGGGAACGTTTCATGTCCAAACTGCCAGGGTTCAAATCTCCGTCTGGGTTTATACGACAAGGTACCCCATCTCTCCGAGACTCAGTTTCCTCCTCTGTAGGATGTGGGTTTGACGACAGGGTCCCCCCCTTATAGGTGGTTGCGAAGGTGAATCATTAATCCCCCACAAGGTGGGCCGAACCGTGCCAGGCTGGCGGTCCTGCCTGCTGCTGTGAGGGTTAGGTTTGTGAACAGCATCTCCCCCTCCCCATGGGGTTTCTGAGACTGTCCATCTTCACAAGAGCAGACAGCCTCCTCTTTCTCCCGAGAAGAGATTGGTGGTTTTGAACTGCTAGCCTGGCGGGTAGCAGCTCAAAGCATAATCCACACACCACCAGGGCTCCCTAATGCTCTACCCTGCATTGATTGAGTTAACCTGTCTGCTTAGCTCTTAACGAGCCCTGGTGGCATGGTAAGTTATGCGACGGACTGTTAACCACAAGGCCAGCAGTTCAAAACCACTAGCTGCTCTATAGGAGAAAGATGAGGTTGCTTGCTCCCCCTAATAAAGATGTACCGGTCTTTGAAGTCCTAGGGAGCAGTCCTAAACTGCCCCATAAGGTTGCTGTGAGTCGGCACAGACTCAATGGCAGTGGGCTTGGCTTTCGGTTTACTTTGCATGAGGAGCCTGGTTGGTGGTGCAGTGGTTGAGCCCTGGCTGTTCAGAGGAAAGCTGACAGTTTGAACCACCAGCTGCTCCGTGGGAGAGAGATGGGGCAGTCGGCGACTACAAAGATCCACAGACTTTCGGGGAGGGAGGGGGTAAAAAGGAGGAGCTGATGCCAGGGGCATCCGTGCAGAGCAAATGTTTTAAGCATGGTGAGGTTAACGAATGTACCAATGTGCTTTATACAATGGATGGATGGATGGATTGTGATAAGAGTTGTATGAGCCCCCAATAAAATGACTGGATAAAAATATAGCGACAGACTTGAGAACGCGAGGGGGGTGCTTCTACTCTGTCCTCTGGGGCATCCACTTGATCGCACTGCGTTTGGTTTTGATGCTGCTCCGTGCCAGGCAGTAAAGTGAACAGGCAGTGCCCTCGGGTGGCTTAGAGTCTATTGTTAGATGCTGTCCGGTCAATTCCCACCCCAAGGACAACCCCCACCAGCAGGTTGACCCACCCCGATCCTGCATCATCCCCACCAGCCCCGCGGGTTCCATCCGTCTCCCTGAGGGTCTTGCTCACTTCGGCTGCCGCTCCGCTTCACCGCGCACGACGTCCTCCTCCAGGGAGTGACTGGTGCCCTGATAACAGGTCCAAAGCACTGGAGACGGAGCCTCGCCATCCTTCGTCCTAAGGAGCGTGACTTTGGTTTGATTGGCTGGCATTTTGAAGGCATCTCATCCCCTGTCTTCTTTACATTATCTTGGCATATAATTCGCAACTCATACAATTCAACAGCTCAAGCATGGGGAGGTCTGTAAAGGGCTGTACGCCCTCATCTTACTGCCAGTGTCGGGTGGAGAAGTTGAAAGCCATTTGATGCCGAAGCCTCGGTGACCTGCCTTTTCGAAGCCCTGCCTTCCATTGGCCAACACTTGCCATGCATTCGCCGGAGCCCCGGTGGCACAGTGAGTTACTCTGGGGTTGCTAACCACAGGGTCAGCAGTTCGAAACCACCCACCGCTCCCTGGGAGAAAGATGAGGTTTTCGACTTAACGTTCACAAGTCTTTGGAAACCCACCAAGGCGCTTCCACTCTGTCCTGCCGGGTCTCCGACTGGGAATCCACTGGGCTGAGTTCTGAATGATCAGCCATTGTGGTGCCCCGGATGTTTCCGTGGGCCACACACTGAACCAGTGGTGTGAGCCCATCAGCTGCTTTGGACTCCCCACGATGAGTCCTATTTTCGGGAACCCACAGGGACATTTCTACTCTCTCCCATAAGGTCGCTCTGAGTCCCAAAGGACTGGGCGGCAGTGGTGAGTGTGTCTGTAGGGGATTTGGATCAGCCACCACGCACACTGAGCTGATTTCTCCTGGGGGCTGCCTTGGGCTTTCTGCACCCCTCCCAGCGGCACCCGTACGTCATTCGTTCTGGGACAATTTCTTGACTTCTCTCCTTTGGGACCAGCCCCTCCCTTCGGCTGCCCTGCCTTTTCTTTTCCGGCGTGAGTCTTGATTGGATTTGGGGCTTCCTGGGCCATCCATCTCTCTCTCCATCTCGGTCATTTCCATCTCTCTATCGCTGCGCTCTCTGCTCCGGCGAGATGGCTTCCTTTTCGCTTCCGCCCTCTCTACGAAGAGTCTCAGCTGGTGTATTTATAATCTCTAAGAACCCTTTGTGTGTGTGTGTGTGTCTGTCTGAATGTATCTATTTATAGTTATTCCTATTCATGTTCCACAGTTGCAATATTGTGTCCAATTTCTGTGAGGACATCAGTGATAATTGGTCTGGGGTTTTTTTTGGTAATCATTTTATTGAGGGCTCGTACAGCTCTTACCACAATCCATCCATACGTCCATTCATTGTGTCCCGCACATGTGTACATTTGTTGCCATCATCATTCTCAAACACTTTTCTTTTTAGTTGATCCCTGGATATCAGTTCATTTTTTCCCCTCCCCACCCCACCCTCCCTGCCTCATGAACCCTGGATAATTTATAAATTCCCCCATGTCTATACCAACCACTGTCTCCCTTCACCCACTTTTCTATTGTCCGTCCCTCTGGGAGCCGGTTATATGTAGATCATTGTGATTGGTTCCCCCTTTCTCCTCCCACCTTCCCCTTCCCCTCCTGGTATCTCTATTCTCATTATTGGACCTGAGGGGTTTATCTGTCCTGGATTCCCTGTGTTGCAAGCTCTTATCTATACCAGTGTACATGTTCTGATCTAGCTGGATTTGTAAGGTAGAATTAGGATCATGATATTGGGGGTCGGGGGGAGGAAGCAGTAAAGAACTAGAGGAAAGTTGTATGCTTCATCGGTGTTATAATGCATCCTGACTGGCTGTGTTAGTCTGGGTAGACTAGAGAAACAAATTCATAAACACACATATGTATATAAGGGAGAGGTTTATATACAAGAGGAATTGAACATTGAGAGAACATCTCAACCCAGTCCAGTCCAAGGCCATAAGTCTGATATTAGCCCACATGACCGATACCAATCTATAAAGACCTCTTCAGACTCACAAAACATATGCAATGAAGCCAAATGCAGGACAATCACAAGCCAGTGGGTAGGAAGTCTTGTGGATCCAGTGGCGCTGTAAGCATCTCAGCGCTGGCAGGGGCCTCTCTGTGGCTTCTCCGGCTTCCGAGGTCTGGTTGCGTCCATGTGGCTTGTCTTCTGCAATGTCTCCCAGGGAGTGCCAGAGAGAGAGAGGTGTCTTCCGCCTCCAAGGAGGAAGTCCCAGATTTCCCAGAATTCTCAGGAGGCCACGCCCACACAGACGCCTCATTGGCTATCTCCTGATTGACAGCCTAGACTCCACCCCTACACTCTTCATCCTTATATTGATACCAGATTAGGGGACTACCACACTGGCTCATGTCTTCCTTGTGGCCCTTCTGTGAGGCGGTGTCCAAGTGTGTACAGATGGGCTTTGAGTCCTCCCTCCGCCCTCCCCCTCCTTCACATGGATATGATTTTTGTTTTTTAAGACATTCTACTCCCTGTGTGGTCCTTTCCTCCACGTACCTGGATGTTGGCCTTGTCTCTCGCGTCCCTTCTAGCTCTCCCACGCTGTGCGGGTGACCCTCACGGAGGATGTCCACAAGCACCCCGAGACCAGTTCCAGGAGGTTCCCTGGGGACCACTCATTGAGCTGGACCACTCTTCTCACGTTGTTTCTCTATGCTGTTCCTCCTCCCCGCAGTCACATGGCCTCCCTGCCTCCCCGACCCACAACAGAAACAGGCAGGAAGGAGCGTACTGCCATCGAACTGATTCCCACTCATCCTGATCCTCTCGGACAGGGTCGAGCTGCCCTGTGGGCTTTCTGAGACTCACTCTCCGGGGCAGCGGTTCTCAGCCTGGGGGTCTCGACCCCTTTGGGGGTCGAACAACCCTTTCACAGAGGTCGCCTAAGACCACTGGAAAACACCTGTTTCCCATGGTCTTAGGAACCGAGACACCGCTCCTCTATCCGTATCCAGGTGGGTATCTGTATCCAGGTGGGTCCACCCACATGCAGATACGCCCACGTACAAGTACCCTGTGTGGAAGACGGTTACCCATGCTACACCATGCTTCAAGGCAAAATGTCATTGATTTGTCATTCAAAATAAATATTTCACCATCTATACTGACATATTCTTTTCGTGATGAATCACTCTGCTTTCATGATGCTCCATCTGTAACCATGAAAATACATCCTGCCTGTCAGCTATTGCCAGGACGATTCGTCACAGGAGCAACATGACAGTGGTGAAGTAGCCACGAACGTCATTTTGTGGTTGGGGGGTCACCACCACAGGAGGACCTGTCTGAAAGGGTCGCGGCATGAGGAAGGTGGAGAACCGCTCCATGGAGTAGTAACCCTCATCTTGCTCCCTAGGAGGAGCTAGTGGTTTCGAACTGTTGACTGTGCTTAGCAGCCCTACTCATCCCCACCAGGACACCACCCGCATCTCGCTGGCATCCCTCCAGTTGCCATAGTCAGTTGGCTGCCATACGGCTGGACCTTCGCAGGGCACGCCGCGGCTCAAGGCAGATGTTTTCAGTGG